AAAATATGGAAATTTGGGAATTTGGGAATTTAGGAATTTGGGAATTTGGGAATTTGGAAATTTGGAAATTTAAGAATTTGGAAATTTGGGAATTTGGGAATATGGGAATTTGGGAATATGGAAATTTGGGATCCTTCGATTACAAATTACTACTTTCAGAAAATTGGTACATTATCTGATAAAGTTAATTTTTCTAGCGTTGTATAATTTTCTAGTAAATTTTTCCATGCGTAACTTCTACCAAATACTGTTACACATTCTACGAATAATTTTGCAGTTCGTGCAACTAATGTTCCATGATTAACATGTTAAATGCAGCTGTGAAAACAGACGTACTTATATAGAACGGAATGTTATAATTGTAATTATTCCAGAGTATAATCGTTGCAGTTTCCAATTCAAACGTTTCGTTTGCTACTTCACGAAATTAGTACAGCATTTCACAGAACTATGTTTGCCCTGCATTTTGAGGTTCCAATATTTTTAGGTTGACCTACAGCTCGATAAACATTTCTATGCACATTATAATGCAATTGAGAAAAGAAGAAGTACCATCTGCTCGCAAATCTTTTATTAAACGCATTAATAAGCGTCTAGAATTTGAAGATAAATATTTCAAGTATTTATTGTAATGTTCTTAAATGAAAAACCTCCCAGAAGAAAGTAACGTTGTCATTTCAATAGAAAAGGTATTTTTGATATAAACATGACAAATCAATTAGACTAAGAAATATTGAACTTCCAACAAAAGTGCATTTTTTAAATTTAATATAAAATTAGTATAAATACATAATAATTCTTTCCCGCCAAATTATTACATTTCGAACAAAAAATATTTATGAAGTGATTATACAGCTATTTAAGAGTTTCAAATTGATGTATATTGCACTACTTTATTATCAAATAGCGTTGGGACCCCACTGTTTCGAAATTGAACATTTATTATGTAACAACGTAATATATGGTATCAGTAGCAAAAGAAAAATGGCAGAGGAACTACCGAAGGTAATATCAACCTAAGCACGACAACCATTACTGTTACGTGCAACCGATAAATAATGCTCTGAAAGTTAAATTGCTTAAAGTATTGACTCGCGTGTGTAGATACTATTTGTACACGAGTGTTTATTCAAAGAACAAGAATCGTAGATCTACTTTTACTCAAATAAATAGTAGAACTAATGGGTGTGTTTTTTTCGCGAATAGTAGAGCGCAAGAACGAACGAAATGTTTATGCAATTTAATTAAACATTTCAGTTTTTAAAATGGGAATTAGATGATTTAAGGGGAAGTGGGGTAAGCGCAGACTGGTTTTTGTAAAGTTGGTATTTAAACGTAAGTATTTTCAGTCTGCTATGTAAATACTTAACGCTGTTGATATCGAACGCTTTGCACAATTACTACTATTTAATTAATATTAACTAGGACCTTAATTTTCCTTCTACATTTTGATTTTGATAGGACATTGTTTAAAATGTCAACCTACTTTGCACTTTCCCCGAAAATGGGATAAGAACGCAACTTGAAGTTAAATACTTTGAAACTTTATTTCATGTGCAATGGGGCAAGAGCAGAATTATTAACAAATCTGCTATAAAATGCTTTTTACTGCATTATGCAAGTACTCTATACTACAAACAAGTACTCTTAGCTGAAATATAAAAGGGAATATAGTGAAACAAAACAAGAAAACAAACATACTAAATGGAGAAATTTCGCTCATATTGTAATAAAAATAGCCTCTAACGCACTTGCCCCGTTTACGAACTTACCCCACTTCATCTTATCTATAATTCCAGGGATTATTCTGTGGAAGTGTGACCATTAAGGGTTGATGATTTTAGAATAGTTGGATGCATAATTATTGGATATTCTTATTTTGAACAAGTGCCAATGTGACTAGCCAAGTTACAAGTCAAGCAGCAAGATTATTGTACGTTTTCTTAATTCAAAATATGCTATTTGGAAAACAAACGAGCTGTGATAAACGGATTAAATGCATGTAATGATGAGACGTGAGATACAGAGAATATTAAGTTTCTTTATTTTGGAGATTCCAAAATTTAGAATTTTGGAAATTTGAAAATTCAATTTGGTAATTCGGTAATTTGAGATACTGAGAAAATGGGAACTTAAAATTAGAAATTCGGGGATTTATTATTTTGGGAATTTGGGAATTTGAAAATTTGAGAACTTGGGAATTTGGGAATTTGGGAATTTGGGAATTTGGGAATTTGGGAATTTGGGAATTTGGGAATTTGGGAATTTGGGAATTTGGGAATTTGGGAATTTGGGAATTTGGGAATTTGGGAATTTGGGAATTTGGGAATTTGGGAATTTGGGAATTTGGGAATTTGGGAATTTGGGAATTTAGTAATTTGAGAACTTGAGAATTTGGGAATTTGGGAATTTGGAAACTTGGGAATGTGGAAATTTAGTAATTTAGGAATTTAGGAATTTAGTGATTTGGGAATTTGAGAATTTGGATATTTGGGAATTTGGGAATTTAGTAATTTGAGAACTTGAGAATTTGGGAATTTGGAAACTTGGGAATGTGAAAATTTAGTAATTTGGGAATTTGAGAATTTGGGTATTTGGGAATTCGGAGCTTTGGTGATTTAGTAATTTAAAAATTTAGAAATTTAAACCTCAAAATGTAGGGAAAGCCTGTTCTAAGATTTTTAATCACGAAAAATATCCTTTCAACATAATTCAATACGTATAAATTGCAGATATAATTCAGTGAAAAATAAACCAATTACACAGGATGAATGTACTCTAATATGCCTTTAGAATGTCAAAACTTGTCCTACCTTTAATCACTCTTAAATTAGTATTAAACTTTCTACCTATTTATTACCGCGTGACACAACACACATACATAAACACAAAATATAAAGCCAAAGAAGAAAGCAATCAACTACATATTTTATTGCATTTATCTGACTCATCCTCGTCGTATCATATTTACGTATGATATATTAACCGTCTTTAATACTACTCGTAAATACTGTATATGTATTCGTTTAAACGTGTTTAACATGTTGACTGCCACATCACCCACATATAGGTAACGCTTAATCTTCCATATGAATGTGCCATTTATAGTATTAAGAATTTGTCTACTAACCCAATTGGAAATATTCGTATTAACTATTTGAAACTATGAATAATACATATAACAAAATATTAGGAGAATATTTAGTAAGATTTGTTAAAAACAGGAATACTATCTAATATAATAGTCAACGTGTTAAATATATTAATATTGTGCTTTAAATGGTGGTGAAATAATCAGTGCTTATAAAATTACAGGTAAAGGAAGACGAAGAGCATCCGAAAGCCCACGACGTCCAAGAAAGAAGCGCAAATACTCAAAAAACCCGAACATCATTCAAGGTGTTGTCCAGGACGTTCAGGCTGGTCTTGATTCACGTTTAGAGCTTTTCGGGATGGATGGTGATCAAGATCTCGCATTGATAAACTTTGAAAGGGCTCGTGAGACTCTCAGCGATTCCTGCGAATATCCGCAGTTGCACCGAAGTGCCTGCTACTTTTCTCAAAGTACAGCTCAATTGTAAGTTCACTCAATGTTATATTATAAATTGTGATATCGACACTCGATACGAGAAAGTACTTCGCAGACAAATATGATAGAAAATATGGGATCGAATGCTTATTTAATACAATGCTTCAGTTTGCTATTTTGCATTATTAATACGATTTTTAGCGATATTCGGAGCTATCTCGCTATCTTTAGTATTTAATTATTTAACCGAATTAAATTCGTGCGATGACCGATAAACGTGGCAGCAAAATATATAAATCGCATTAAATCAGTATTTAAAGCAATAAAAGATATTAAACTAATAACTTGTTTACAAAAATTAAGGGTTTGTAAGTAACTATAATTTGATACGGTATGGGTAATATTAGCTTTACATTTGTGCCTCCACGAATAATTCGAGGAACGCTAGGTAATTACCCTAGTGTTCAATGAAGGCGATAAAACTAAAACAATTGTATGTACCTTGGCATATTATTTTATTTAATTCACCGCCAGTTGAATATATGAGGAAGAGAAATACGAATACCAATAATACACTACTGACAGGAAATTGTAACGCCATTCTTGCTCGTTAAATAGTTCTGCTGGTACTATCACTTCCAACTGTAGTGTCTCAATTCTTTAATATGTTGCTGAATTATATCCTTTCCATTTTCTTCAATTTATATGAAAACAGGAATCTACGGTCATGTATTATATATTATATTTGCATGTATAAAATGCGATAATGCATGACTTGGTCAAGATTCTACAAATATTATTTTCCCTTGACTTGGAAGAGAAATGATTGACACCATTTGATAACGAATAATCGCGAACTAACTATGATGTATCTAGTATATTAGACAGAAACTATATTCCTTACTCGAATGACCACTCCAAGTTGGAGACTACGTTAAAGCATGTCATGAGTTGTTACTAAGGTTGTTGAGGTTCGAAGTTTTAATTTTTCAAGAAAGAAGGCTCGATGTGTATAATTTTCTCGAATAAGGACGAGGGAAACAGATTTCTATTGGCTACACAAAATTGGATGGAAATGGAAGTCGAGAAACGTATGTGGTGGGTATTTTCCTGAACAAGTGATCAGATCAAGTGATAAAATCAAGCAATACTTCAACCTGAACAGAAAACTGCAAATAAAAGACTCCACTGCTAAGATCAAGGATTCTGATAACCAGATGTAATAGTAATAAACTAAAAGTACTCGATAGAATGTAACGACTATTTAGGTGTCATTGCTGTTACGGGTAAAGAATCTATTGATTTGAAGGTATACAAAAGTGTGCGGAGAAACTAAAAACGGTACATTATTGAATGGATAGAAAACTTAGTTCGAGGTATAATCCCCTGGCTATGATAATTATATTCTAATTGTAAGACCTAACAAAATGGGCCTAAACGTACTATATGGTAAAATACTAGTTGTACAGCGCTAAATGTTTTATTTCCGCCATAAACTTTGAAGTTCTAATGTTTCTCGAAGTTTATCTGTTTGATTGTTTCACTCTATTTCGCTTTATTATCGAATGCTCAAAGATCGATTCCACTGGTTTAAATGTAACATTGTATGAGATAAGAAGCGTAAAGAAACTGAAGAATAATAACTGCAAGCGACCTTTCATATTTAATAATAATGACCTTAAGAGCTCTTGGTATCCACATATGTTACAACGTAGAATTATTTATCAAAGTATGTGATGAGAAAATGACGGAGGAGCAGAATTTTAAAAAATTATTGCCATATTACGCTGCCTTTCATCAAAATAAAATTAAATAAACCCCATACTTTACAATAGTTTTTATTACTAAGCATAGTTAATCATATGAAATACTGCTTTAGTTACCGAGTATGTATAATTCAACGTGTTAGACTTTGCGTTACACAAGGTCAACGACGTTGAAATTTATCTTATAATTGTTGCTCTTCAACTTATTTTAACGTATTTTATTTAATGTTCTCTACTTATTAGCAGACGTAAAACATTTTCAAGCCATTTAATATTCTTGTGCGAAATATTTCGCTGTCTGTTGTATCAGAAAGGTCTACTGACGCAGAAAATAGAAAAAGTGTTACTCTTCGCAAAAACGGTTCTTATTATTAATCATTTGACATTGACAAATCAGTTTTTTTATCTTGCAAGAATATTAATCCATTTATTTCCACTTGCGTTCAGGTAATAAATGTATGATAGAATCATTTTTCATTTCATCTGCATCACTTTTAAACGCGAGTTCAGAATTAAATTTGATAGTCAATTTTTTATGGTCCCTCAATGTTAGTTACTTCTCCATGATTATTTCACGAAACTATAACATAAAAATTATCTCAACAGATATAATTGAAATACCTCATTATTGAATTACTATTATAGTATTTTGTTATCTTAAATAAAATAAGATTATATTAAAAATTATTTCTTGGCATAAATAGGATAGTCATGTTATTAGAAATATATTAAAATATGCGATTTAATATTATTCGTTAAAAATAATATAATATAACAATATATATTAACAACAGTTGAACCACATATTTACTTAATAAATATTACTGCTCTGAACAAACACTATATGCAATTAAATATCAAGCAAGTAAAATTTCGGTAAAAATCCTCATTCTGTCTGAAACAGAATTATTTTATTCTTAAGTAAATAAAAAAAAATCAAATTCATTATATTATTTCTTAGTTATCACTGCAAAAGTCATTACATCAATACTGAACAAAAAATGTAACACCATTACATTTGGGATTTCGGCCTATCAAATCCTACCAAATAGGAATTTTAAGATAACGTTGTAAAATCAGCCATTTTTTTCCCAGTATTCCAACTGAAGGTAAAGGACAAATTGACGAGAATAATAAATAAATTTCATCGTTTGCTGATCATTTCCGCGGTTTCACGGGGGGTGAATTATAATGAGCGTTTAATCAAGCGTTCACGGAGTCGAATAAACGATATACTTCTACCTTTCTGATGCAGATCAATTGACCTCGTTCCTAAACACTGATGTTATCTGGAAATCCGAGTGCACTTTTTCTTCGATAAAATAGTACAATTGTGTTGCTTCATTAATTCTTTTAAAATCGAATACGATTAATAGCAAAATTTTCACTACTTTTAGAAATATTTTATAGTGCACGTAAACATTCTTAACCCTTTATCGAAGAATATCGCGAAACATTTGTGACACACGGTACACTTGCAATATAACAAATTTAACTCAGTACAATTGAACTTTGGGTGTAATTTTAATTAATGCACAGCCCCTGGATACTGAATTAGTACCACTGTTTTTCAGCATTTCACACGGTTAGTGTGAATGTACAGGGTGTCATCGACCCAAATATATTTAAAAGTTTGATACAAAAATGTTTGAGACAAAAGTTACGTGATTTTGAGAAATTATTTGAGTGATTGTATTCTTGTGATTTAGAGAAGATGTGAATGTAAGCTCGTTTTTTAAATCATATATTTTTCAATGCGCCGTTTTATGCAGTTCGCTTTTCTCTACCCAACAGTATTAACGACTATTAAACTGCTAATTTTGGTAGTACATAATGGTATTAATGAGTATTAACCAGTTAACTGTGGCGATCTTTTTGCAAAGCGCGCACCAGTGTGTGTCGTGATAATCAAGCGATGACGAGTTAGCTCTCAAGAATTTATGAATTCATCTCAAATTATTTACACTTTTTATTTGTTTATTTCATTTCGCGTTGACCTCTAAACATTTTAAACATATTACAATTTATGAATATAATTTAGTTTTCGCCAAAATTACAATTTAAATATCAGATTGTAACAAAATTTTACGCAGTAACGGATATAGTCGTCATGACACAAAATTCTGCCAGATCTCCTTGACGGCTATAGTCGTCAACTATAACACTTAACTGATTAAGATAATTGTATTAAAAAACACTGACAGCTTATATTTGATTATTTTGTAAATTATACAATTTTATATTTTTTAACGAACTGTTACCAAAAATTCGATCAAAAGCTTCTCAAACTTCAACATTTTCGAATTTCTAAGTTGAATTATACGAATTGAAAAATCCAAAGATCGGAAAAGGAAGCAAATCGATATTTCTCACTTTGCAAATGTAAATTTTTACATATAAAAAATTGTATATCTAAAGTTCGTAAATATTGCTTAAAATACTATCGTCTTTTATTGTGTTTCTTCGCAAGCAATTTACCAAATTTGCCAAACAGGACGTTTCGGAATAAATGGACCGAAACACACAAAGCTTATGGATTAGCCTCCAGTGCCTCACGATTTATTGCATCTGATTTCTTATTACAGAGGGTTCTTAAAGGCATCGTTTCCGATACATTACCAGAAAATGTAAGCGACTTACAAAGTGAAATATCGAGCATGGTTTCAATATTTCAACCATAAACAAATATTTATTACACATAAATATGTATTTAAAAATTTTCAAGGCTATACAAAAATTCGTGAGATTCAACAGTTCTTGTACAGAAAAATTATATTAAATGTACAGCACAACTTTATCAATAAGTGTATTAATTTAAAGTTTTCATTTTTTATTTTGTCGGCATGTTAAAAATCTTGCGTCGCTTATTAGCACTACAAGTTACGTTTGTAGTGTTTTCGTAAATGTGAAATATTTTATTTTAAGAATTTTCCATTTCTCAAAAAACGTTGCACATATGGAGAATCAATTTTTTCTGCATATTTATCAGTTATAAGAAAAACGGTTGCGTGAAAATTCTACATAACTCCCCATTTCTACTGATATCACCCTTGCGAAGTTCTGACGTCAAACTTACTGAATATGTATGGGGAGAAATGAAAAGGAAGTTACCGAAGTATGAAATTTCAGGCAAAGAAATGAATTGAAGAGAACAATTTCTGATGATTTGTAATAACATGGAGAAATATTAAAATTAATACATAATATAGGAAATCGTTGAAGAGCTATAAAAATTTAAGACGGAGCAGATATTAATTATTAAGATATATTCATAATATTGAT